CGATGGAAGGGGCCGCCGCTTCCAGGTGAGAAGCGCCCGCTGCGCTGTGCATCCCGAGGACTTGGTGTAAGTAAAGCGAGCGGCAACTTTTCCCACCGCCTCCGTAAAAACGCAGGTTGCTGCGCTCCTCGGCGAGGCTCCGGGTGGGAGGGGGCGCACTGCGTCGCCGGCTTCGAAAGGAGACCCGAAACATTTAAAACGAAATGATGGGAGCGAATCGGCCTCGGCGGAGTTTCTAGTCCGTGGTCCATTTTATTCAACTCGGATGTCGGCGCTGCTTCGTGGGAATAGAATGCGGTATTTGTTAGTCGTTAAGCCTGGCCGTTTATATTCCTTCTCTTTCTGAAGGCAGTTCGGAGTGATGGAAAAGGCATTTTCGCCCAGGCTTTTTGAGCCACTTTCAACGTCCAAGTAGCTGTAAGTTATCCCAATAAAACTGATAATTAAAAGCCTAATTTGTGATATTTTTAGGAAGCCGTGGTTGTTTTGTGTTGAAGGGTAAAATGCATCGTTCCACCAGGCCATGGAAAGGTGTCGGTTAGAGATGGATCAGAATCTAAATTCAAAGGCCCATTGCTAGATAAATTAAAGATTAAATGATGAAGGGAGAATTTCAAGAACCTTGGTTATGATCACTTTTTACACCTATTAAAGCCAAAGCAGAACCATTCCCCCTTCTTTTCATTGTGCTTTCCATCATTTTTATGATGTTTCTCTGTGTTAAAATATGGATACGTAGGATCAACCTCACTTGTTTGTTCCTAATGATAGCCACTGCAGGTGGCAGCCCCTAACCAACTTGGCTGCTCTCTGAAAAAGCTAATCAGGGAGGGAGTCGATTAATGCATAGACAGGAGACTACTAGGAAATCCCAAGGCTGGAGGCTAGGCTGGAAAACTGGAAGTTTCCCAGAAGGCAGCTGTGGCAAACACCCTCTGTATCCTTACTATGAACATAGATGTATCCACCTAGTAGGTCCACCAGAGGTCAAGCTCAGTGTAGGAGAATCTTTACCTTTTTAAAATCTGATAAAATTATCATAGATGCCTTCATATGAAATGTAGAAGGAGAAAACTGCTCCCTCTGCACTCTTTCTGATAGCACCCTAGTAGTTTTATACACATTTCATTGTCCTGATTATTAATTTTTTTTGCAGTAAATAGAAGTAGATTTAAAAATCTAAATAATGGTCATGTCAGTATGACAACAGGTATACATTAACTGCCTATCATTTAGACTTTTAGAATGAAGTTGATTTTTGCTACCTGTCTTAGGTATTTCAGGTATAAAGATAAAGGACAAAAACATCTAGAAATATGTATGTAGGTATGCAGGTATATGAAGATGGTTAACCCCAGAAGTGTAGTTGTGGCTGACTCATGAATCTGACTCAGATGTAATTCTAACGCTTTTGAGCTGTATAGTTACTCAAGAGAAGTAGGTCCTTGGTAAATGATGTAAGACATTCAGTGGTGGGGGAGGCCAGGAAGAATTAACAGGAGATGAATCACTTTTATGTGAGATGGGCAGCTATATAAATATGATAAATAAATAAACAAATGTCTGTCATTAAGAATGCAGGTTGGTTTCCCCTTAGTTTACGCCACACCCTTGTGTGTGTCTGCTCAAAAGTAATTATGGAATTCTACTTATGGCTTTTGCAGCAAGATCTATGCAAATAGCAACTCAGAAAAGTGCAAGTATCTGCTTGGCTATATTTTGTTATTCATAAATTATATTGTGGTGGTTTCCTAATGCAAAGAATAATAATGAATACATGACCCTGAGAGATCTTTTCCAAGTTCATTGATGTATCATCCCAGTCAAATAATTAGCAATAACTAGGTGATATAGTTCCTGTTTCAGCTCTGATTATTAAGCATGGAAACTGCTTTCTCTGTATATTTGTGTATATACATCTACAGACACACAGCCCTTGTTTGCAGTGCCAGTGAATAATACACACACATATACTTCAGTTATGTGTGTGTTTTATGAGACTGTATTTGCCAAATATTTAATTCTCCTACATTTTACTTGCATTTCTCTGCCTCCTCAATTTTTAATTTCCAATGCATGCTTCTTTCTAATCAGTTTGAGGATAATATATGGCATGGTATCTAAAAATACAAACATTCTGCAAATCTTGATGCTATTTTGGAGAAGCATTTTCTATTTAAAAAGTAAAAATACTTACTGGAATCCCCAGGTTTCCTTTATAGACATTAATCATACTTCTATCTGCTTTTTAAAAAGTCTCATTGGGTTCAGTGAGACTTCTTTCCAGGTAAATGGATATAGGATACAGCCTTTAAGCCAATGTTTTTCAAACTTGGCAACTTTAAGACATGTGGATTTCAATTCCCAGCCTGTATTGTTAATGACAGGCTATCATCTCCATAACGCTTCCTGGCCTCCATCACTGAAAGTCCTACATCATTTACCAAGGACCTACTTCTCTTGAGTAACTATACAGCTCAAAAGAGTTAGAATTACATTTGGATCTGGGGATAAATTCATGACTCAGTCACTACTACATTTCTGGGGTTAACTGTCTTCATATACATACATACTTCATGCTGGCTGGGGAATTCTGGGAGTTGAAGTCCACACATCTTAAGGTTGCCAAGGTTGAAAAACACTGCTTTAAACTTTTACATTCTTCTCAAAGAGTGTTTCTTGGATTGGAATTATAAACAGATCAGCCTATTACTTTTGCAAATAGTTGTGAATTGCTCCATGCACCAGTGCCCTTAAGATTAAAAACTCCTCCCTACTGATCAGATGAAACAACCCGGAGCAGGGAGGGAAAAAAAGAAGAGGAACTACTGCCTGTTGGCGACATTGAAGGGAAGGTCACATTTGATTTTAGATCTGGATTGAAAGGTGATGGAATTTTCCCTGTATGGACTGGAATACCAATCTTTTTCATTCTTTTTTTAAAACACTGATTTTAAAGGTTTAACTGATCTGTTTCTGTGTTCTTGTTTCTTTTTTCTTTTTTGATTTTTTAGTTATAGAGATTTGTCCTAAAGGATTCTTTTCCACCATGTCAGAGTTCTGGCTAATTTCAGCTCCAGGGGATAAGGCCAATTTGCTTGCCTGGGACAGAATGAATACTGTGACTTCGAAAGCCAACCTGTCCAGGAACAGCAAGTTCACCATCCCTGACCTCAAGGTAAAAGGTGGGATGAAAAGTTAGGAGGGAAGAGGAAGAGGAAGAACAAGTCACCAACAGGGCTTGATCAAGCATATTTCTTCTTCCTTTCTTCATAGAGTGGGTCTATGTACAAGGAAATTTAGTCTGAATAATATCTTTCATTCTGTTTCTTTCTGAAGTGCTTGAATAGCATGCATCCATTATTATTAGTCAGTGGATTAATTACTAGCATAAAAATCTGGAGGTTTAATTTGATTTCACTCAAATCTGTCATTGGCATAAAAACTCAAAGAACTTTAGTTAGACAATCTATGAACATCCTCAATGGTCAAGATTCCAATTAATCACAGTGGAGCTCTGCCTTACATATCTTATATAGAGAGAAATTAAGTACAATTTACTCACAAGTAAATGCACATGGACTTGTACCATTGATAAACTAAATCTGAATGAATTCAATGGGGCTGAGTTCTAACTAACCATGAACAATATTGGGCATATACTTTGAATGGAGATGCCTAGCATTTTAGTGGGTGTCTTGGGGGAGGGTGGGGGTGGGAATTATGACATGTACACAATGTCATTGTGTCTGTATAATCATTTTACCATAATTGATAAACAAATGGTAATTCGTTACCGATGCTGTTAGCATGTCTATTCAAAATATGTCTTAGCTATTTCGATATCCATGCTATATAGACTTTCTCATAGTTCTCATAGCCCATAAACATGGCTTGGGCTTATTGTAGTTAAATTACTTCTTCAATATCAGCTTGCGTTAACATGTTAGTTACATTTGGGTTAGAGTACTAGACATAGTAAAAAATATAGGGATTAATAATATGACTATGATAGAAGTGCTGACTGATATCTGGAAATCACTTTCACTGTTGGTATCCTAAAGTGTAATAATGTCAAAATTAATTTATTTGCTGCAACTGCTGTCTGCCCACATTATGTATAAATGAGGCAGCTGTAAGGCTCATTCATCTTAAGGATTAAGCCTTTTTCCTACTGAAATTGGTAGCAAAATATATATTCTCTTCAGTGCCTTATGATTACACGTACAATATTCTATACTGTGAGCTGTAAAACTGTTGACGAACACTGATAATAAAAATAGGGAAGGAGTCTTGTAGAAGTGGTTTATAATCACATGATAACATACAATGTTTCCTTACTTAGAATGGAAGAAGAGGCATTTTAGTCATTTTCCATTGAAAGAAAATGTTTTCCCTGGTTGACTAAGGCTTCCTTCAAGTGTCCTTAATACTTTGACCACACAGAAGATCATCCTTGCCAAAAAAAAGATCATTCTGGCAAACCAGTTGTGCAGCTCTTCTGTTTATGCTTTAAGTATTTGTGTTCCCTTCTGCAGGTAGGAACACTGGATGCACTGGTTGGCCTCTCAGATGAGTTGGGAAAACTTGATAGCTTTGCTGAAAGGTAAAATAGATTTTATTTACTGCACACAAACAGCAAATGGATGTTGTTTTTCCAGGTCACAGTGTTCCTGCCTGAACCTAACTCTGACTTGTTTAAGCCTGGCACTAGAAGACAGCCAGGTTGGGCAGGTTTGGCTTTATTTTGTCTAAAGAATAGTTGGGTCTAAGTCCTGTGTTTTCTTTTGAATCAAGTGTATTGGGATCTAGGGGAGCAACAAGCTTTGCACAGAGGTAGAAGGCAAGTCTCTGTGAAAGATTGTACCTGTCCTCTTCTTTGATCTATTCTATGCAGTGGCTTTGAGGAGCTGTTACAGAGATGAACCAGGGGCAGGGTGGTGGTGAGGAATGGGTGGCAAATGGCATCTTGCAGAAGGACTATGGGAATGCTAAGGCTTTTAGGAATGTCTTAATAGTGCTGTTCTATTTTATTTGATGAGGATGTCCATCTATAGCTGAGTCTCTCCCAAAAGTCTTCACTGTTTAGACTTCACATATGTGAAGGGTTGTCTTCTTTGTTTATTTCTCAACCCAGAAGCAAGTACTCCAGGGTCTCCTACACTGGTAACAGTCACCAGTAAGAGACACAGGAGGGCTACTAAGACACACAGCACAGAATTGGGAAAAGAAGATATAGGGCTGAAAGTGAAGTGCACATTTCAAATAATTTAGCAGGAGTTGGCAGTTGGCAGCTTGGAGCAAATGTATGGGGTTTTTTTTGGGTAGGATGCTCCCCAATCCTTCTCCCATTTTATACTGAAAGGCAGAATCAAACAGGCAAGGCAAGTAGGAAGCCCTACCTCCTCTCATTTCTTTTTCTGAGTGCCCCCTTTCCAGTTCTCTTCCCCCTAGTCTTCTGGTCCTTCCATCTAGATGAAAGGTTAGAGGTATGGAGCTGTGTATTTTACGGAGGGGTTGGGATTTTGAAAAAAAATGCGGAACACACAGGTCTATTGTTAAGAAATAGATTTGTTTCTCATCAGTGGGACATTGTTTCTCAGAATCCATCTATAACCAATCTGTTTTCTGACTAGGTTCCTAACACTATTATGGTCACCAAGAATTAGGCAATTCAACTTTGCTCTATGCATAGACATCCATTTCTAACCATGATGGTGCCAAAATGGCAAGATGTGAGTTGCCACACTGTGATCCCTTGCTCCCCTCCTGCAAATGCCTCCTAATAGGAAGACTTTTGCCATTAGACTTCAACCCACATTTCTATTAACTACATTGTTTTATAGCAGAAGCTGAAATTCTGACAGAGAAACTCATCTGACGAAAGAACAGAATTATATGTGAGACTAGTGTGTTGTAACAAATGCTGAAGTCCATGGATAAAGGGGAATTGGTCAGAAGCTATTTCAGTTGCAGAGGAACAGATTGTTAGTGGAGCTGTTATTAGATCAACATATGCAAGAAAAGCTGGTACATCTAGCTAGGCGGCAGAAACCAGCTGGCACTGCTTCTGGCCAGCATAGCAGGGAAGGGGCAAGAGTTTTCAGGGTCTCTTGTTTCCGTGCAGTTTTATTACTTATTTACACAGGAGGCAGAGTATTTTTCCATGTCACTTTAAAGCAGCCTATGGCATTCTGATGCTCTCTGCCCATTCGTTCTTGAGCTGTTTCCATCTCGGATGGCACACTCTCCTTGCAAACCTATTTTTAAGTGCTTGCCAAAATTAAAATGGTATAGAATAAAGATGAGAATCCTGGGAAATCCATGTAGTAAATTAATGCTTTAAAAGCAAGTTAATGTCCATTTCTAGGTCTGTTTATTCTGGAGTAAGCTTCTTTAGATTTTCCCATTCTACTACGTAACGTTCCATTACATGGACAAGCACGCACCTGAAGGAGCGCCTGCAGATTCCTTGGGCTTCAGCAATGCTTCTTCCATCCTTGGCTGATTGTAGGATATAGTTTAAAACAAACCACACACACACAACGCACTGTCTGATCCCAGCTGTGCTTTTTCTTCTGCCTGAACAAGCCACACCTTATTTTATTCTTTTGCTATCCTGTAGCGGTTGGGGAACAGACTTTGTAGCATAGAGAAATTACTAGGACTGAGTTGCTAATCCCATCAATCAGAGTTGGGTGCAGAATAACAGGAAGTCATGCACTTAGAATTAAAGAAATGGGTATCATTTTCTTTTTATTACCAGAACTCAATAATTCTTTTGCACAAAACCCAAACACACACTTAAAAAAAAAATATAGCCAGTTCCCTTTTGACTCTTGTTAATCATTTTGGAGTTGAAAGCCCCTTTTGACCCACCACTGTCCTGATCTGTCTTCTGCCCACCTCTGCCTATTCATTGGTTCTCACCTTAGTGACTGTGAAAGCAATCACTATCTAGCTGTAAGTTATTTCATGGTTCTTGAATTAATTTGAACTAAACTTCTACTGTTTTGTTCTTGTATGAAGTGTAATAAAGAAAATTGCCCAATATATTGGAGAAGTTCTAGAAGATTCGAAAGATAAAGTACAGGAAAACCTGCTGGCCAATGGAGGTAGGCCCTGAAATCATGGATACGTTGTTATGTTTGGATGTAGCTTTGTTGTTTTCACCCAATTTCCAGTAAGAACTGCTGGAATTAATATGCTCATATATTAAGGGATTAGGTGGTGTTTCCAGTTTTAGAAAATAATGCTTCTGCGTTGTATTTTTCATTAGCTTTAGGACAGATTGCTAAGTTTTATTGCTTCTAATGATATGGAGAAACCCTTAATGGCAGTTAGAAGTGAAACATTTAGCACAAAGAAGAGTAAATGTAACGAAGAGGAAGAAGAAAATCAACTCAGGCTAAAATGACACCTTAAGCGGCAGTGTCTAGAGAGCATTGCAATCAACAGCTCTTCATAGCCTAAAGTGGGACATGAATTGCTCCAAATTCAGTTTTAGTTCATACTTATATACAGAAGCTTTTGTGCAAACTACCTTTAATTAGGTGTTGAAATGGCTGCTGATAGCATAAAACCAGAATGGAATTCTGTTCTTTGACAGAGATCTTGTTCCAAGTGATAACCTTAGTTTTTAAGACAAGCATGTTTGAAGATCAATAATTGCACTTACTGTATTTCAGGCGCAAAGAACAAACTGAAATGTCTAAAGGGTATGTTGTGTTTGGGTGGCAGTTGTGTCTTGGCCAGCATGCACTGGTGTGTTTAATAATAGAGTTGAGCCCACATCTGGTTGTAGGGGTACAGTGATCAGGTTACGACGGATTTCTCTAGTAACAACCCCGTAGCTTGATCACCATCTCCCTATGACTCAGATAACTGCAGGTTTGCCTCCCCTACTACTTTTGATTTTTCCTTTCCCTGAGTCTTTTTCTTTCTTATTAACTTACTCTGCATGTATAGTAAAAGGGACTGTAGGGACTCCTGGAGCGTGTGAAACGTTTTGCATGCATCTGTTTTCTTATGATCAATCATATTATCAGTGTTCTTAACCGTGCAAAACCAATTACTGCAGTTTTTTCTCAGTAGATTAATTTAGGCGACTGGATCTGAGCTGTAAAAATTCAGATGAGCATTTAATGGCAGCAAACATGGCTTGTTGTTGCCATCTAGTGCTTATTTGGATTTTGCAGCCCAGGTCTGATATACCCAGGGCTCTTCCTCACAGCTGAGGGCTGTCCATTAGTCCTTAAAATTGCAACAACAGCAACAACAACCATACTGGCATCAACAATGCTGCCCCCTTTGCCAATCTGCATTCTCACCGGCTAGTGGTACTGTCTTTATGTAGCTGTTGTGACCATTTTAAGGAAAGGAAGCAGTGGTTGCCCTAGTCACCAATCTCTTTGCCTGATGTGGGTGGAGAGTGAGGATGGGTGAATTAGGTGGATGGTTAGGATGGCAGATTAGCCCCCTGTCAAGTTGCCTGACTTACAAGTTGCAAGCATGGAATTGGGGCATGGGGAGAAGTGGGAGGGACCTCTGCCAAAGCTCCTTGGATCCCTTGTACCTATCAGTCAGATTATTTCTGAACATGAGTAGAGTGTTCTTCTGAAAAAGCGCTAAACCTGTGTTCAAAGGTAGCTTGGCTCTACAAGCATGGAGGACAAGTAAGAGGTGAAATGGAAAGGACCTGTGATACTGTCAGCAAGTGACCAAGGAATCCCATTTTGACCTCATGGCTGGCAACATCTGGCAGCAACCAAGAGACAACTGTGCAGAACATGTGTGTGACAGCTGACTTCCAGAATCACAGAATTCTGGATGGTCCACACCTAATCACAACAGTTATCACCAAGGCACCTACTGCAGCCAAAGCCAAAATGGAGATAGCAAACTGTCCTTGCCTCTCCCACCAAGAGGGACATAAGTATCTGTGGTGTGGTGTGCAAAGAGCCACAAGAAGTGAAGCTGCATAAAGTGATCTGGGACTATGGCCAGTCCGGGCAACAGTGGTAGCCCTCTTGTCAGCAGCAGTAGTGGAAAGCTTTTAATGCACCTACTGGTGACAGAACGAACAGGACATTGCTGGCAGAACCTGGTTCTCTTTCCCAGTTTAAATCAACTTTCTGTGCAGCACAGGACTAGCACTGTTTCAAAAGAGCACTGAACACACATTATATACTGTACTTTAATACATTATACATAGTACACATTTTACATAGTCCACATAAGGTGTGATAAGTACTTTGCAAAGCATTGGTCAGGTCTCTGGTCTCTCTTGCAGCCCAAGCCTAATGGTAATAGAGTATAGTTCAGTGACTGGACAGGAGGGGGCTGACCACAGCAATCTAAAGTGGTCAATAGATGCTGGGCAGATACCAGCTCCTGAGTGCATCCTCAATCAAATGTTTGGTGAAGTGTATCAGTTTGTATACACGGCTAAAATTGTGATGGAAGAAGAAGGAAAATGCTACCTCAGAACTGGAACAGCTAAGCGCAATTTTAAGCTGCTTCAGCTGAATCTGGGGATGAGACAAAGGCATCATTATGAGGACATGGCACTAAAAATGTTTGGGTTGTGGTTAGAGGCAAGTGAGGAAGAGCCCACAGTTTGGTAAATTAATGACTTCTAACCAAGGCAATTACATATGCTAGTTTCTCTCTCTCTCCCTCCTCCCCCATAACTGGTAGGAAATATAGCAAACTTTTTTTGGGGGGGGGGGTTAGTTTTGGCATTGATTTCAATGGTTAGAGTGCATAGCTATCTTTTCCAACATAAAAACTAAGCACATCTAATGCACAGATGATACAGGTCCTCCAGTAAAGCTGAATGATGGAAGCTTTAAGTCACAGGGTGGAGTGATAGCTACCAATTTAGATGATTTAGAAGAAGATTAGTTAGATTTATGGCTAGTTAGGATGATGGCTATTAATGGTGATTAGCTCTATTTTGCCTGCAGCCTGGCTTTCAGGAGTTGCTAGGGATTATAATTGGGGGGGATGTCCATCTTGTGGAGTCCACAGAGGTATCTGGTTGGGCTCTGTGAGAACTCAGTGTTCTTTTGGTGTTCTTAGGCTCCCCCAGTGGCCCCTTCCCACCTGTGAAGCAGCAGCCACGTTTCTGTAGCTGTATAATGGATATATAGGGGCAGTCCTTCGGCTGAAATCAGTGGGACAGACCTACCCTCTGGGCAGTTAGGATGACCACCACAAATTATAAAGTTCTGTAATGGATTATTTGCATTTTTATTTTATTCAGAAGAAAAAAGCACAGAAGAATACATTCACAAATAAGATGTGTGAGAGCTAACAATAAAATGCTGCATTGTGGAATATTTCTGTTTATAATCAATTTCATTCCCTTTCAGGAGGGAGGCAGAAGGATTTAAAGGAAAAGAAGGTGCTAGTCAGTTAGCACTGTACACAGTTTAACACTGGGAGGTGCATTTAGGAATTTGATAAACATTTTTGTAAGGGCTCCCATATGCTTTTGTGTGTTCCTATTTAGCTGTCTCATACATACTTTATGAAAGGAGGATAAAGATGAAGCCTGTTGATTTCAGGTCTCTGAGCACTTAATTCTTTCTGTACACATTAGATTTTCCACACCCAGGAAATACAAGAAGGTAAGGTGACTCTTTCTAGGAGTAGCAACACTCTAGAGAAGGACACTGAGATACCAGAAGGGAGCAAGTCTGATACCATAGAAGAAGGGGGTTGTTGTAGGCGTTAGAAAGAGGCGCTTTCCCACCGTAGCACCCCATCCACTAAGATAGGGGTCACTACAGCTACTTATGTGCCAGTCATTCTTTTATTACCTACAACTTAGATCACCTGGATTTGCACTGTGTATGTCTAAAATGTATTGTGAAAGTTTAGTGTTGACCCTGTATGCTTCTCATACACATACTCTCTCATCCACACAGATCTCTAAGTGAAGAAAGTTTCACTGAAGAATTCCTTTTTGTGTGATTATTAATGCCTCATTAAAAACTACACAAAGTTGTTGTGGTGTCTAGAAGCATCCTGGAATGTCCCTTCTCCTGTTTTTCCAGCTCTAGCTATGTGTCTGTGTGTGTGCATGTTTGTTCCTGCACACATGCGTTTTTTAAAATGTGGCTTTAAAAAAGTACCCTGCCCCACATCAGGTTCCCCCCTTGATAATTTCTGCCTCCCTACAGGGTCTCCACATTACCTTTGATGTCATAACAAAGGTCACTTGAGCAGCTTTTGGGTGGTGCAGGGTAGGCTGCAGCCCCAGCATTAAAACATACAGTTCAGGATCCAATCCATCATATATTTCTTTAGTTTTGATTTCTCCCACTGCCTAGCAAAATGCCCTGTTTTGCACCTGTGATAGTCATCAAGTTTAGCCTTTATCAAAATATTAAGTCAGTTAACATTTAAAAAGCTGCATCTGCACTGAAGAGCGATAACTAAGTCAGGCACAGGACTTTTGTTCTGTACCGAACAGGAAAACCTGCAGATTTCTTATTGCAAGCAGTTTTTATGGCCCTGCAGACTAAGTTAGTAGATGTTCAATGCAAGTGACATTTATGCAAGATTTTGCAAACGATGCACATGCTAGTCAGTCTCTGCATGAGCTGTTTTTTGGTCCTTCTAGAAGTGACACAAGAATCTGATAATAAAAGTTTATGAAAGAATAAAGCAACCCCCCTTCCAATATAAATATTATTATGCCACAAGGCAAACCAAAAATGGAGGGGGTTAAAAATTCAAATCCAGTTATCTTATAAAATAAGACAAGGGACTTTATGGCTCCCCAGATATTATGAACTACATCTCCCAGGAACCCAGGTCTTGCTGGTGGTGGCTGTGAAGTTCCAGTTCAGCAACACTGAGTGGGCCATGGATTCTCCAACCCTGCCCTAAATTAAACCCAACCATTACTTTTAAACAAAATCTTTATTCTCTTACTTGGTCACTATATTAACAAGATGAGAGCCAAGATAAACATGATCCTCTTCAAGAAATTAATTGGGTGAATATTTATTTTTAAAGTGAGAACAGTCGATATGGGGAGGGGGGGGAGTTGAGATCTGGATTGGCATCTAGAAAAGGGGGTAGATGCAACATGGCAATCCTTGTCCAAGCCATATCCTAAATTCAAGCTATTCCGGATGCAGCATGTCATGGGAAAAGAATACTTTATTCTCAGAATAATTCTTATACGTGTGCTGCTCACTAGATTTACTTTTATTGTTTCAGTTGATCTGATTAGTTATCTAACAAGGTTTGAATGGGACATGGCTAAGTATCCAATAAAACAACCCCTGAAGAACGTTTCAGAAGGATTAGCAAAGGTAATCACTGTTTTCCCTTCTTTCTCCTCTATTGAGAAGCATCCTTATAAAAGATTGTTCTCAGGAGTGATAATAAAGTGCAATTATTTAATTACTGAGGACAACTTCCTCAGGAGCCCAGTTATGGATACTGACTCACTTTGAAATTCATCAGAAAGCAAGCTGGGGCCTTTTTTCACATTGGCAAATTCTAGCATCATGTAAATATCTTCCTCCTCATCTTTCTCCCCACACAGATATTTCTGTCTGAGAGGAAAAGGAAAAATAAAAATGCAGTATCTGTGTCATCCTAAGGAGTATCTCCTGTGACTTAAGGAGAAATCTTTAGGGTATAACTCTAAATATATATTTGAAGTCTGTCTTCGAAGCAGTCACAGGTCTGTCACCCAGTAGTTTTCAGCAGAGAGAAGGCATTTATTCTGTACCTGTAAATTTAAATTACAAAGTGTGTACTTACTGAGGGATTTCATCCTGGTACAAAGAAAGATTTTCTTCAGGACCATAAATAAATCAAATTCCTCCTCTTCATCTCCTGATCATCACTTCTTCCCCATCCAAATGCTATTAAGAGAGAAAGACAGATGTATGTATTTAAATTGCACCTAAAATGGAAAATAAGTTTAGTTTTGGCCCTCTGGTAAATCTAGCAATAGAATTTATATTCACTGCAGGCTTTTGCATGTACAGTGTTACTGAATGGATGCAGAGTTCATATTGCTCAGCTGGATTTCTCCTTTTTATGTTTAGCAAATTACACAAATCGAAACAGACATGAAAAGCCGAGCAGCTGCCTACAACAACATCAAAGGAAACCTTCAGAATCTGGAAAGAAAAACAGTGTATGTGTTTAGATAAGTTTTAATTAATTGCGTTCCTGTATGTATTGGGATATTGACTTCCTATGATGATGTCTTAACATGTTAGCTGCATTGCAATATAGTAATACAAACAAGTAATATGGACTAAATTAGATGTTTGCAGGGTTTTTTGGTGCCTTTGAGTCAGTGTTGACTCCTGGACTGCCTGGACAAGCCCCTGCAGTTTTCTTGGCAAGGTTTTTCAGAAGTGGTTTGCCATTGCCTGCTTCCTAGGGCTGACAGAGAGTGACTGGCCCAAGGTCACCCAGCTGGCTTGGTGTCTAAGGCAGGACTGGAACTCCCGGTCTCCCAGTTTCTAGCTTGGTGCCTTAATCACTACACCAAACTGGCTCTCTAATCACTTCTTCAGTGAATCTGGATTAATTAATCTGTTTAAAGTGTTCATTGTACTGGGATAGAATCCAGTTTCTCTAAGCTTACCACACGAAGCCCAGATTTGCCTTAAATTTGTGGGAAAAGATGTCCAAAATTCCGTGAAAACATTTTCTTTCTAATCATCAAATTAAGCATCTACTTAACATTTATAAAGTATCAATGGTAGATAATCCTCTACTGATCTTTTCTGTCTTTTTTTTTCCCAGAGGAAATCTTTTGACCCGTACTTTAACGGATATAGTGAACAAAGAAGACTTTGTGTTGAATTCCGAATATCTCATCACCCTTCTTGTCGTAGTTCCTAAGTAAGAAAAAAGTTGGCTTTCCTGTGGATGGCTTAATTGTAGTGCTCAATATTTACATAGCATTTTAGAGAAAATACTCTGTATACATTATACCAGCTTTGCCAGGAAAATCTTGGTGAGATGAAATTGATAGAAAGTCTCCTACTAACCAAAGAGTCAGTGGAAAAGGACAAGGTTGGAGCCAGATACTTTATTGCTTATAATAAGTTTCTGCTCGAATTCACACCGTGGATGTACCTACAGGTAGTCCTCACTTAATGACTGCCCGGTTTAGTGACCACTTGAAGTTATAACAGTGCTGAAAAAGTAACTTTATCACTGGTCCTCACACTTACAACTGTCACAGCATCCCTGCGGCCACATGTTCAAGATTCAGGCACTTCGCAACTGGCGGGCATTTACAACTGTTGCAGTGTCCTGCGGTCACTTGATCACCATTTGTACACTTCACAATCAGCTTTAGATAAGCAAAGTCAATGGAGAAGCCAGCAGTAAAATTGCAAGTTGTGGTCACATGATGTCTCACTTAACGACTGTGGGTTATCTGCTTAATAACTGCAGCAGAAATGAGGTTGTAAGTCCGTTGCAGTCACATGATGTCTTGCTTAATGACCATGTCACTTAGCAATGGAGTTGCTGGTCCCAATTGTGGTTGTTAAGCAAAGACTACCTTTATTGTAAATATGAGCACTCCACATGACAGATTCAAAATACCATATTGGAAGGAGGACTTCTTTATTTCTTTTTGACAAGTTTAGATGCTGCTTTTTCTTTGTAAAATAAATCCAAAGACACTAGCATACGTAGAACAACTTTTGGTTCATGCTTACTCAAACTAGAGTATGGGGGAAATAGAGCTGGGTGTTTACTGACAACTTCTCAGCTCATCTCTGTGACCCCATTACTCAGTGGCTTCACATAGATGTAGAGAAGTGGGAGTTGAGCAGGGGAAAGAGGAGCATCATGGAATCCTTGTGGATCAGATTGGATATACGCAAGCCCAGATTCTAACTGCAATGGGTCTAGGAAGTTCCTGGGATACAGAAACTTCAGTGTGAATACTGAAGTCTCACTTCCCAAGACTTGGGCCTAGCACCATGCCTGAGTCCACTTCTGTCAGCTCAAGCAGGAAGATTACTTAGGGGAGTGAAATTCAAGGCTCTTAACACCAGTTATTTACACTGGAAGCTGGCTGACGGATAGACACAATACCCAGAAAAAAATGGAATGGGTATTGGGCAACCTGCACTCCTCCAGATTTTTCTGAGCTATAACAATAGCATAAGAAGTGTAGCTCAGGGGCTACATGAAACCCAATGCTGTCCCATTGGAGATTAAGTGGGGCCTAAAATGTCAGTTCTTTTCTCCTTTTTTCGGTTTGGGGTTAAGGAGTGAAATGGGTGCCTTGCAGAGTTTTAATAGCACTGGTTTCAGCCACTTTTGGAATTTGGCACATGAGATGCTGCCCAGAGACTCAAGCTGAAGGAAGTTGAACATTCTTGTCATACAGGATCAATTTCTACATGACCCCTTTTTTTCCCACTTATCAACCTGGCATTAAGCTTTTCTGAATTTCTGTAAAGTGACAATCATTATACTGAAAATAGGAGTTTATACAGTGATTATGTACAAAATCTCTCTTGTTGCAGATCAAGCTATGTGCAATGGCAAAAAACATATGAATTACTCTCAAATATGGTGGTTCCTCGCTCTACAAAGTAAGTACAACTTTTGGACTGTCTTGTTCTCTAACGGATTTCAATCTTATGCTTAGAGTCATTGGGAGTTGGCTGGCATACAGATTTAATAAGTTGTTATTGTTATGGATGAGCTATCGGTTTTCTCTCATGTACTACTTCCCTGTCCTCCTAGTTGTGACATACTCTGGTTTGGAAATGCTTTGCTTAAATATTTTCCAACTTGGCATGCTTCTGATTTGGATATTCTGGAATATGGAAAATGGCAGGGTGCCCTTGAAGGAACTTAAGTGGGGCTAGGCAGTGGTGAGTCTCTTCTTCCTCTAGGAATTTTGAAAAAGAATGAATTTGGGTTGTGGCAGTAAGATGAGTATCTCTTGTTCTTATTTAAAAATATTAAGTTATTAACATTTGTATACTGTCCCACTGTATAAAGTTTTAAAGGAGATGGGGGAGGTTGTATTAGAGCTGTGGAGCTTTTCTCCCTGACATTTCTTCTTGTATAATGAGGTTGCTTTTCATTACCTCAGGCAGGAGGGAAAGTGGTAAGGGGAACATAGGTAGCAATTTCTGGAGAGTGTGTTTAGCTGTTTTTTGAAGGACCCAGTGACTTTTCTGTTAATCAGATGAACTTGGTAGTGGTGGTGAAATGGAATGAAAAAAACTCTATATGTAACCATAGAATGTATATCACAATGTTATTGTGTTGATTAAGAAATTGCTGAGGAAGAAATTGAATTTGGCAATTACCAATTATGACAGGTTATAATTATTTACGGTAATAATCACACATGCATTATGGTTAGTTGATTTGGGCACCTATCATAGAATGGCAGGGTGGTAATCTTTAGAATAACTGAACCAATGTATTTGATTCCTCCAGGATGATCGCTGAAGATGCAGAGGGAGGTCTTTTCACGGTCACCCTGTTCCGAAAAGTGATTGATGACTTTAAGGCCAAAGCCAGAGAGAACAAGTACTGTTTTCTTTCTATTTGTATGCCAAGGGTAAAATAGTACAGGTTCTTTTCACTGACCTGAAGAGAAAGTAGACCCATCCATGCAGTTATTTATCAGAACTCATGAATGATTGGCACAGGGCCGAATCCCGGGGTCTGTTTCCATCAGCAAAACAGGAAGAGGGGAGAAATTTCTCCTCTGCCTGGCATGAATCTTGAGGATGTAGGGAAAATCTGTAAGGGGAGAAGTCCTATTACATGAATGGACTTCTATTTATATTACATTAAGGGCATACCATTCATGTATGTCTTAACCAGTTTTTAAATCTGTTTAAGAATAGTTTCACACATGAATATCTGCATCTGGGTCAACACTGACGATGAAGAGATAGAAAAGAGAGGGAGGTCATTTTAAAATATCCATGTTAGCCAAGTATTTTCACTGAACATAAATGGGAAATGGATAACAAGTGAAAGAGTCTTAAATGCCATGGCTTACTAATCACATCACCCTGATCATTTTCAAATGTTTGGCACTTACATATTAAGCCTTGAACAATTTGAGGACTGAGTTACCTGAAATACCCCCTCCTCTTTATGAGTTTGTTAAATCACAAAGGTTACAAACAGGAATTTTACTACTAACACCACCACCTGCAGATTTCCATATGATGCTAAGTGAGAGAAGAGCTTTCTCGGTGGCATCTTCTATGTAACCCTCTCTGGGCTAGGCTTTGATTATCTGTGGAAGACATACAGTCCTCTCCTCACGCAGGGTGCAAGTGTATGAATGCCTGCTTGGACATGGGACCTATTCCCTAGCAAATATGTTTTGGATTGTAGCCTAACTAGGTGTCTGTTGGGAGAGGGGTCAAAAAAGTGAAGATGTTGGGGGCTATCACAAAATCAAAACCTTTCCCATGTTTTATGTGCAAATGATGCATGTATAAAGGGATGGAGCTTCCATTGGGCCTGTCATCTTGGTTTTTTTGATGATCCCCTGGCCCTCCTGGTGCCTCTATAGCCTAAGTCATCACTTATTTTGGCTGAATTGGGACCACTGGCTCTCCATCCAACCAAACACACAAGGTGTTGTTAAATTCATAGAGAAAGGGTAGGATATAGGACAATGTAAGAAACCCTTCATAACTTCAACTAATGAGTCACTTTTTCCAGTGCTGATGCATCGGCGTGGGCTCAAGGAGCTGAGAAGAAAGCAAGCTTATTAACGATGACAAGAGCTCCTAAAAGCTTTTAAAATTGGTCTAATGTGACTTACTTCCTACACTACTAAAACTTACCATGTTTCCCAGTTAAGCTTTCAACATGTACTTTGTGGTTTGAAAAAGCATTTGAGTACAAAAGCCCAGGCAGGAAACAGCTCTCTAAAAGCACAGGTGCTGAATGTCAACACTGATTTACTTTAAGGTTCATGGTGCGGGAATTTTATTTTGATGAAAATGAACTGAAGTGCGAAAAGGATGAAATGAGGAAGCTAGCTTCTGATAAGAAGCAACAGTATGTGAGTAAACTACATCATGTTGTGCACGTTTGCCAAATTCTCACTGAAATATTGACTTCTGAGCCTCACTTGATTGTTGTTTGATAAGTTACAACATGATCTTGTCAGTAACAAAAAGAAAATACCAAATAGTGTTAATGGATTGCCCAGAAATGTTGTACATATTCTTGGGATGACATCCAAGACAACTCATTATCCTAAAGTTGTGTTCACAGAACACATTTAACTTGGTTACTGTATTAATCCATTGTCTTAATCTGCATGACCCACTGACCCATAAATTAACCAAATGACCTGGGTTTGCATGGTAGGCTAAGCCAGGGGCAAACCCACACACACACACTTAGCACATTGTAAATGCAGCTATTACATTTGTACCTGATTTAGTTAAGCTTGTAAATGTTTAGGGTGTTGGCGTGTGTGGTTGAGAGCCAGTTTGGTGCAGTGGTGAAGGCCCCAGGCTAGAAACCAGGAATCTCTGAGTTTAGACCTGCCTTAGGCACAAAGCCAGCTGGGTGGCCTTGGGCCAGTCACTCTCTCTCAGCCCTGGGAAGCAGGCAAGGGCAAATCACTTTTGAAAAACCTTGCCAAGAAAACTGCAGGAGTCACCACTGACTCAAAGGCATGCATATACACACACACACACACACGTGTGTGTGTGTGTGTGGTTAGGCACAAACCAGTACAGTTTCCTCTCATCGATATAGTGTTTTAGTATGAAATTATATGTAGCCCAGAACGATGCTCTGATTTTCTAAAAAACAGGACCTTTCTTCTCTGTGAATGGATGTTACATAATATTGTTTGTTTGCTTATTTGATAAACACCTATCTCACACAAATAAACACCTATCTCAAATAACAAAGATCACAAAACTTCCTGGGGTTATGGGGGAATGCCTGGGGAAATAATTACACCCCGAATACTGAACAGAAAGTAATCCAACAAGCACCATATAAATGTATTGGCTAGCTGTTTAGCAAGCTTTTCCCAGCCAGAGGTAGCACCAAGGGCTGTAGGAGGCTTGACAAATGGGTCACTGGCTAATGTCATTTTTGACAGGCTTGGGTTTTGAGGAGTGAATGGATAACTTAAGCTTCCACAGACCTTATTTTTGTAAGAAACCCATGAAACATGGCATCACTGAATATCAGTGATGTAGGGGTGGAATTTTGGGGCACAATTTGGAGTTTTGGAGGCCATAAAACAGGGTTGGGGGCATATGCAGCTCACAAGTGACAAGTTCCCCATGGATGACAAATTCCCACTATGTTATTTCTATTTTTGCTACTAAGGAGTTGGTTTTTTTTTTTTTTAAATATCTGGATGCTGAATCAGATTATCTGCAACCTTGCTGGGAGGGGCTGAGGGCCACAATTGGCCATTGGGTGAAGTATTGTGGGAGCATGATGATACCTACATGTAATTTAAGACAGAGTTTAATTTAAGAAAGTGAATTTCATTACTTTTCACATATTTAGCATTATTTTGTTCGTGAAATTTAAAAAAAAGGGCCATCATTTTGGAGCCTTTGAGAGCTATACAGATAGGACCGTCTGGATTAAATATTTCTCCACACATTATCACTCAAACAAAAGAGAGTGTACTGGGACTTTTAGACTGAAGCAGCAATAAGATAGTCCTCTTCTCCAAAGCAATGGCTCCTAAATTTTATGGATATTTTCTCCATTCTGTTTCTGGCAAGAGGTATAGCTATATACTTTCAAAGCACCTTAGTGTATATATTTAGTCCTTATTTAAAGCTAAAAAAAGAAAATGGGACGAAAAGGTATTAAGACTCCTATATAGATAGAGAATCCTGCACATTTGGTTTTGGAGATTACACCAGACATGTTGATGCAGAAAAAGTGTATCTTTACCCTCTACTCCGTAGTGGTAATGACAATAATCAACATCCAAATAATCAAGAGTTTGCTGCTCTTTGGATGTTACATCTAATGGTGCCATTGTTCCTGTCCTATAGAACACTCTGAAGGAGTACTAGCACCTTAGTTCTTGACTTTAGTATTGATAGTCTATAAACCAAGGTTTTAACCCACAGATCTCTATAGCCCATCACATTTTTACGTATTCTTACGGCTCTTCTGTTATCTAATACCATTTTTTCCTCATTAAAGGGTCCTCTGTTGAGATGGTTGAAGGTGAACTTCAGTGAAGCATTTGTGGCTTGGATTCATATAAAGGCACTAAGAGTTTTCTCAGAATCTGTCCTCAGGTAAACAGGTGAAATTGTATAGGATCCATTTTTCCTAGAATCTCAGTTCAATAATTACAGATCCCCATGGATTTGTTTAACTTTCCCATTGATTTTAAACATACTTGGTTGTAGCATGCAGAATGGGTTTTTAAACATTACAGGAATAAACAGACTATAATTTGGCAAATGTTATGATAGAGTTAATAAGGAAAATAAGCAATCTTTGATGCAGTTTCACTTTGCGGTTTTTTCATCACAGAAAGCAAGATGAGGATAGTTGATAGGGACAGTGAAAAATAGCATTATTGCATTCATAATGTAATCTGGTTTCTGCTGCCAGCTTACTGCCCATTTCATTCATTCATTCATTCATTCATTCATTCATTCATTCATTCATTCATTCATTCAAAGGTATGGATTACCAGTGAACTTCCAGGCAATGCTACTTCAGCCTAATAAGAAATCTACCAAGAGGTTGAGAGAAGTTCTAAATGCAGTCTTCAAGCATCTGGACGAAGTAGCAGCAGCCAGCACGATGGATGTAAGTATGCCATTGCAGGTGACATGCCAAAGGGTGGAGAAAGCAAACAAGGGCTGCATGAAGCATAGGCAGTGCCTCCCATTCCGACCCTTCCCCACTTCTCATTTTTGACACCACTTTCTGTCTCTCAACCAGGAGGATGCTGAATAAAAGGTAACAGTCATTTACAGATGACTGTGTGAAGCCCCAGGGCAAACCCACCCTTGAACTGCTGGCTTACCTTATTCCTGTGTCATCTCCCACAAGTAGTTTCTCAGAAGACCTAGAGACTTCCAATGAGGGATCAGCTTCCTTACACTAACTCTGGGGATTTCCAATTTAATTTCTGTATTTACTGTTTTAAGTCTTTTATTTCATAGTACTTGTTCCTGTTATGGTTACTGAAGTTAAGATATTGAAGTATTCCTTCACATTCAGTAAAAATTGTTAACACCTATCTAGAAGTCTTATGGATCTCACCCTACCTTATTTTCATCTTTTCCCAGACTTCAGTCGATATTCCTGGCTTACAGCTAAGCAATCAAGACTACTACCCCTATGTCTATTTCAGGATTGACCTCAGCCTTCTCGATTGCAGCTAAAATATGCTGGACTAAGTGTGACTTGTTTTTCAGTATTGTAGCATTTCATTGTGAGTGAAGTGTCATCATCTCAAGCTGTTTTTAAGGCAAACATAATAGGAGTGTGGCCCTTTCAATGAAGAAAGGGCAAGTAATTTTAAGCAAGTGTTAATTGTAGTTTCTAGATTTGGCTTGACTATACAGCAGTTTGATTGCCTTCTTCCAATTTGAGAGTTAAAAGATACTGGAAGCTTTCTCTGATTGTATTAGAAAACATGCTTCACAAGGCATTTGTGTTATAGTTGTATTTATTCTGTTGTAATTACAAAAAAAACCCCTTATCAACTAGGGTTTTAAATAAAATTGAAAGGTATCTGGTGGTTAAGACAGCATATCCTCGAGTCATAAATCTGTAATTTATTTAATGTATTGATTCAGTCAACACAGCAGTTACACACTAAAATAGAAGGGAGAAATACTTTGAGAAGTTTGTCTTAATCTAACTGGTTGCTTCAGTTTAGCTTGTCACAAAAATCCAGACAGAAAATTTTTCTCCTTTGCCTGAGTGAAATATGCCCCGCCCCCAAATGAGCATATGGCCCACTGCAGACATAATACAGAACTTGAAATCTCATTTTATCAGTTTGTTGAAAGCAGTATGGCTCTTCATCCATCTTGAATTTAATTAAAATCAGATTAGAATAGCAGTACTTCTCTCATAGCCACCATTTGTTGGCAACGTTACAGTATATCCTTTGAGGAGCATTGAAGTCCAACAAATGGCTACGATGATGTTGGAGCAAACCGGTCCCTAGAGAAAAGGTGAGCCTTTTTTAAAAGGAAGAGAAATATTGTCTAATGTTCTTGTGGCAGGAAAATTTAATACTGGCACTGGGAACTTTCTTACATCCTTCTAAAGAAATCATATCATCTTGATTTGTTATAGGAACATTATATTTTATAATTTAACATTATATTAAAATTAGCCTGAAATCATAATTCTGGGCTACTTGGAAACATTCTTCATCAGAGACAACAGGAACTAGATGATGGCTCAGTATTTTTCTTGAGTACCATCAAGGAACATGAGTGCTTAAAAGATTCCCACTACAACTGACAAGATGTGCATCAAGATAAACCTGCCACAAGTCACCCAGCAAATACGGCAGCTCTCTCAATCCTACAGGCTCCATAAAGAAAAATAATTATTGAAGTTATTTAGAGAGAATCCAAGGACCTGGTTCATATCCAAAGCTTAGTATTGTGTGAAACAGTTCACTATAGTTTTTTCAAAACACCACAATTTAAAAAATGACTGGTTTAATATGATATATATGTCTTCATTCTATTAATATTCACTGCAAAAATGGGTTCTAAATACTGTACTGATCTAGTCAAAAAGAGATCTCTGTACACTGTACAACGCTGACACAGAGAGTCAAAAATATTGTTTTATTCTTTCATTGAAATGAAAGCTATACCTTGGGGATGGAGAAAAAAGATCACATTTTAAAACTAAGTACAACAAAAGTCTCAAGTTACAGTTGACCATCACATACCAGCTAGACAAAAAAACAAAGCAGGAGCATTTCAATGAAAGATCAGTGTTGTTCTCAAAATATCTGTTGCACCGGATACAATTTTACTCAATAAAAAAAATTCATAGAATTTGTGAGATTTTTTTCTTAAGAGGTGCTCAGTTCACTAATGACCGTATTTCCAACAGCTTTTCTCTCAGCAAAAAGGCCACTGGTAGATCTGTGTGATGCAAAACATTCTTCTATCCAACCACTTCACAATGTCTCTCAAGAAATAAAGTTATCTTCAGGCTCTCACAATTCATCCTTCTGAGTATCCCAGTCATCAAGATCTACATCACTGAGATCAATATCCTCTTCAGCTGGGAGCTATGAGACAAGTAAGTGGAACAGGAATTAATGAGGCATTTATCACATGATGTCATCAATACCTCCAAACCCCGTAACATGCTGAGAAAATACTGCCCAATAGTGAAGGGCACTACTGTTAAATGACTTCTAAAGAGACCTAAATGCTCTGTTGTGTTTCTTAATCTGTGTACAACCAGCAATGCACTTTTCTGATCTTCCCTTAAAGTATAAACTACATGAACAATCTTGTCATGAAGGTAGATTTTACCATTCAAACAAGTGATGCAATTAAACTGGAGTTTCAGCACCTAAGACCCTTCAGTCTTATCACTGTTACTTTACTCTTTAAAATCAGCAGAAAAATTAAAGCTATTGATTAGTAAGATCAAAATAACTGGCTTCACACCGCATGCTAAGTCATTATGTGATTACAAATGTGGCTTAACATGATATGGGAATTGGGATACTCATTTCTTTGCAGCTTCTTGGTTCTTTTTATGGGTCCCATCCAAGCTTCTAAACAACCTATAGAGATGCAAGCCAAAGACCATCCAAACAGTAGAGCAAAGTGAACTCAGCATTGGCCAAACAAGGAATTATTATTTTATCTGTCTACAAGATGGACTGGCTGCTTCTTTTTCATTAAGCAAACCAGGATTGAAACAAGCCCAGGTGTGACATTGTGTGTGGCTTCAGTAAGCTACTAAGCAGAAACTTCCTATGAAAAAAATGGGGGAAGTCAACAGTAGATTATAAGTGAACAATAAAAATTGTAAATCTACATAGGTTTTTATGTAACCTGAGCAGCTGGATAAATAAGAAAAGTAGCACTAGTGTTATTATCAAGTTCCTCTTTACAACCCTCAATGCAACAACGCTAGACTAGTTACAGGTTTGGTGAGCAACTCACATCAGCACAGGAAAGAAAGAAAATACAGAGTCTGCACAGGAAGCATATCAGAATAGCTCAACAGGATATAGAAAATAAAATGATGCCAGAAATAGACAAGCAAACAAATGTCAGAGCTTTGAGCAAAAGCCAAAAGAGAACAAGGATATGCAGCCAAGCATAGAACACAGATAAGGTGGGTGACAGAAAAGATGAGAAATAAAAATGAGAAGCAAGGTTTTAACTAAATAGATCTTTGGGTACAAGCTTTAGGGTATATAATGATGGTGTGCCAGGACGACTAAGCATTAAGTGATTGATTTGATAATGAACCAACTGAAATGCATGAACCCTAAATGTTTAATATAAGTTGTGTATGAACACAGAGATGAAAAAGGAGTCTCTTACCTCACCATCTTTGCCATCCCAGGGCTCCACTGGGTTAATCTTGGCAAAAGCCCCTCCGTCAACCGGTGCTGTGGACCCTCGTCCAACAGAAAGTTCCCTAGAAGTTGAAAGAATGTGTTACACACTCATCTAATGATCCATGTTTGAGAACCTGCTGCGATGCATTATATAGCCAGCAGCACTGAGTGGGGTTGGCAACTGGTGCCCCCTCCCCACCCCCCCGCCGGTTAAAATTTCATAGGT